GGACTCGTTTAAATTCAACGAACGTCCATTTGTATGTTCTGTATTAACCAGTACGTACAAAGTGACACGTAAGTATTTACTTGCATTTGTTTCTTCTGCGGATTACGTTATTATTGAAGAATATCGATTATCCAAAGCGATTAGCGAACGAAACGATCATAAGTCGGATTCTGCTAATTACTGATATTGAGAGTTTAAAAACGGACCCCTGTCAAAAATAATGAATAATTTGTGATATATATAGAAACTGTTTTCTTTTGCATTGGGAAATCAATACAACCGCGAATTCAGCCATAAGATGGCCAGAATATTTTTAATCGATCCAAATCAATCAAATCCGAATTGTTATTTAATCTTTATCGTTTGGCGGGGTTTAAAATCCTACTTATTTAACAACAATCAATTTGAATGAATTTGTTCGTTATTGGTTATTAAGGACAAAGTTAAAGGTACAATTTAGTAACAGTTGTATCTCGATAATTTATATTAGAAAATGCGACCCCATGATGCATAAAATTACTGAGAAAATATTTGAGTGTCAAATTGGCAATGGAGTGTAATTTAAATAAGCATGAACGATCATATCAAAATGAGAATCAGGTCGATAGTGCTGCCAGAAATATATTGTAAGATATTATTATAAAATTCTGAGGATTTATAAATTATTATACAGTTCATAAACGCATCAACGTGTGTTTACTTTATTGACAAATCACTAAGATTTCAGTCGAATGAAAACACTCCAGTTTTATTTAAACAAATTGAAACAATAAGCAAACGCAGTTTCCACTTAGAACAATGAGACGTGCACATGACGTACCGTCCTTCTGGTAACAACAAACTTTTGTTCATTTTGTGACGTACATCGCCTCTTGAACAATAATTTGTAGACTGCAGACCTCCATGCACTTACAACGCAAGCAGACTTGCAAAACATAAAACAATGCCTGCTTTAACAATGATCAGTAGTATTTTCATGTTATCTTTACTTTGAGTAACCATCAGTCACAAATAGAAAAGCTGAATCGCTTTTTCGTTTGATAAAATAGTATTGTTCGCGCCACCTTTGCAGCTCCTTTCTAGTGAAAATTTGAAAATCGTTCAGCGTTAAGAGCAGCAACACTAACAATCCTCGAGCTTCAACATTTCACCTGAGTTACGAGGAATTAGTTTCTCTTCGTGTTCAACTGTTGCCATCTATCGCTTGAAACATAACAATGTCGCAAAAATGAATCTTCGTGAATTTGTCAGAATCTAATAAATAAGTAATGTATCAAATGAAAATTCACACGAGCGAAAACGCGTTCGAAGAAAAATGTATCCAAACTAACATTTATAAAAGATCATAATAGAAAGAAATTGCAGAAATGAATGAAGACTATTATTCGGCCAATAACGGAGCAATTATTTGTAAAAATTATTTATAAAAATCATAGCAATAGATCCTTTGAAATTGATGCTAATATTCATTATATTATGTAAGCGAAGCTACTAACTTAGACTAATTTCGGGTAATTAACACTTTCGTGTGACACGAATGATCGTACAATACGAAAACAGAAATCAGTCGTTTTTCCTTGGACGGTGCAGTTCTGGCGTTAAAATCGGAAAATCTCGTGAATTCATGCAGGTGATTAAAATGTGTAATTATATGGAACTAGGCGTTGCGTGCTCGATCATTTGGCCTAAAAATGCTGTTGCATGCTGATCGAGCCGTTCCGCGGCGCGAGTCGCGCGTGTGAGAACGTGCCTTTACGGGCGACGCAGGCGTTTAAATTTACGCGCATGCGGGTCGAAAATAATAGTATCGGCGTTAGAACGCCGGGACCCCTTGAAAATGCTCCTCCGCGCATTCGAATATAAACTCAGAAGCCAGGTCAGGATTCGAAAATAATCCTAAGCATTTGACGCGGTGCATTCATCGGTTCTAGAGCGATACGGTCAAGCGACGCGACGCGACGCGACGCGCGCGAGTTATCTCGCCCACCTTTCCAACTGCGCTCCAATTGCGAGCGGATCCTCTAAATCCTGTCAAAGATCACTTCTAGAAAACAGCTTTTTACAATTCTAATTTGCGACTGTCGCTGCCCAGTTTTCAGTGCGCCATATTCACGATTAGTTCGTCGGCCAGCGAATCCAGAGCTCATGTTATTTTAGTAATTAGTTGATTAAAGTAGAACTGAAATAGAAACTTTGTCTGTTTACTGTAAGACCTATTTGCTACAAATAAAATAAAAATGTTTTTGAATATGGATATTAGCGTTCACTATCATCAGATAACGTCTCAGAACACACGCTATTTTAGCATCTAATTAGTTGATTGAAGTAGAACTGAAATAGAAACTTCAGTCGAAGACTTTCCGTAAGCTAAAAGTGAAACAGAAACATTTTTGAATATGGATAGTAGTGTTTCTATCTTAATCCAGCGTGTTCACGTTCGTAATGTAGATGTAGGAGACCTGCAGTCTCATTATGCGATGCAGTAGAAAGTATTTGGCTGCATTCTTTCGTTTTTACAGTTTTCGTTTCTGTCGTGGACTTATTTCGAATGCCAAATCTACTGCAGCGAAGTTATTTTTCAGACTTTCAGATCCTCAATTTAGAAACTTGATTTTGATCTACTTTCAAATGGAATTTTTTTTATCTTAGTCGATTTCTATTGCGATTTGGCCCGAACGAACCTTCGATATCTACAAATCCTTCCATCAGATCTAGAATAGGAAATCCTCTTTAATTAATTTGATAAATTACAAAGTAATCCCGAATTGTAAAAGGCCAGACTTGAGCCACCGCGTGAGATTAAAACAGTACAATGGTCAAGATTATATAAATGATAGATACAACATTATGGAGTTATTGATTCGACGGTATTATGGCATACGGCGATACAGCGATAGTGATTGTAATTAAGATATAAGAGCACAATAATTAATCATGAATGATGCTTGAAAGATGCATTGACTGATGTTATCCTATCAGAAGGTGCGCTAATCATGAGAACAAGAACATAGAAATTGTAACGTTGTAATTAATACTTAATCATCGAATACTGTATCATATAATAATAGAAGAATGGTAACAGTTATATTGTGGATTATGTGGCTCAAGACAGAAGATAGCTGTAATAGTCTTCTTTAGTTGTTAATTGTATAACTTAAATGAAAGCTACGTTATAAAGGTATTTATCTACTTGCAAGATTGCTGAACCTTTTGGCAAGTCAAACCAAAATGAAAACTTAGTTAGAATTTAATGTAGATATTGTTTTGTCTAATGTTAAAAAAAATGTTTCTACCATTTTTATTTCATTTTTAAAAAGTTAAGAAACATTTTTGTTCAAATATGTGCTTTTAGAAATGATTAGTTTAGTGGCTATCAGTAAACAGTTGTAAATTAATATAACCAACAATATTTTAGGGGCAAAGTATAATTAATTAATTTTCTTATTAACAGAAATTTCGGACGGATTACGCAGGTATTAAGAACGAGTATTTTAATCATTATCAGTCGATAATCACAGATCGAATGAAGACATGCGTAGCAGCAGTTGCCAAAGCGTTAAGTAACTACAAATTGATTTACAAAAGTTGAGAGGTAGTAGTTTCAGGAGGCGTTTCTAAGAATATTAATTTTGAATCAGTCGAAAATTGATCACGGGGTATAGGTTTTTAGAAAATCTGAAAGTGATCCCACACTCACCGCCGACAGTGAATGTATATCAACCATAAACACAGTTCGTGACGTCATTCGCACTTAGGGAAGTATCTTCAACCTGCAGAAGTATCTGGCAGTAACTACCATAGCACAGATACTCGTCTTGCAAACATAGGTTGCAATGGAATGAGTTTAGACAACTATATGTCACTGGGCGCCAAATATTTTGACTCCCGAAAAAGAGTTCTCCAATTGTAACGCTTCAGGGACGGCGCCTAATTCTCGCTTTCTTTCAACTCTTCCAATCTCCTTTTCTTAAATGTTCAAATTTTCAAATTATCACATTTCCAAATTTTCGAATATTCAAATTTTTAACCTGTTAAAATATCAAAGTTTCAAAGTATCTAAGTATCTAAGTTCCTAAATTCCTAAGTTTTACAGTTTTCACGTTTTCAAGTTTTCAAGTTTTCAGGTTCTTAAAATTATAAATTTAAAAAATTTCAAATCTTCCATTTCTTTCAATTCCCTCCAATTCTGTAGAATGATTATGTAAAAACTGATATATCCCCTTAGAAATCTGAACGAGTCAAAACTAAATGAACATTTTTCTTTCTTACATTCTATGCCCTTATATTTATTGTAAATGCATAAAGTCCGTTTAATCTTTCAAATTGTCTCCCGCTTCCCGCACTCGTTTTAGTATCTAATATCTTCAAATACGCAATACCCACGAATGACCTCAACTAAAATTTCAAGAGACCTCGTCTCCAAAACAGCCAGCGAAATCCAGAAGAGCCCGGGCGAAGGATTCACTGACGTCAACCGAATCATCAGTCTGTCCTCTAATCATACTCGACTGGTGTACGGTATCTGCGCAAGCATTCACTTCCTAGCCTTTCTCAGAACCTCGTGACGTGAAACGATATTTCAGTTCTTTTCTCCTCGACTTTGGAACAATCAACAAAATGAGGAAGGGGTGAGATGAAACTGGGATGGATGTTATAGTCGGATTTGCTTTTCAACGGCCTTGGTAAAGTCAAAATATTTGGCATCCACTATAGTCGCAGGCTCGATGAAGGATTTAACTCTTTGCTCGTATATCCGTCGAATTCCGCGTGGGTTTTTTCAAATATGGCGGTCTATTTTTCACTTCGTTTTCGTGATTGCCGGTGATAATGTGCAAGATGACGATTTATTCCAGTGTATTCTGTGAGAATGGTCATTTTTGCGCGTGAAAAGGTTCCTTTGTTCGCGGCTAGAGAATGTTTTTAGTGTCCATTGTAATCGTGCATGCGGTTTCTTTCAATGGCCACGGTATTAACGTTGTTCATTTTTTTTATTGTTTCAGAGTCCTTGCAATTGTTGTCCCATCTTGGTGAGTGGTCTTTTATTAATATGCTGCGAAGAGCTTGCGTGCTAGATAAACATAGACCAAATTATGTCGGAAGAAAGTAAATTCCCCTACGATGTATCATGGTAATAATTACTTTCATAATCTTTAGAGACTAGTCCGTTATGCGTGCGATGTATTTTTGAAACACACACACACACAAATCACACGCACATTCTCTCTTTCTCTCTCTTTCTTTCTCTTTCTCTTTCTTTCTCTCTCTTTTTCTCTCTTCCTCTCTCGATCTGATACACGCAACCCTGGGACTAACATCAAGGATTCTGGTACTAGAAAACTCAACAAGGTCAAGGCACGAGTTTCCATTTCTGTAATCATATTTATAGTTCTGTCATCATATCTATAGTATGTCATTCGATTCATTTCATCGCCTCATTATTTAACATTATTATGAATTAATGTGATTCGTTATGTAACATATAATGCACGTTGCAAATTGCAAAGCTTTGTGCATTTAAAGTGTCTAAAATATACTGATGTATGAAAGGAAAATTAAAATAAAATCTTCAATGAATCGTATTAAGTTTGTATTGTAATTGTATTAAAATATGTAATCTATTGTATATAATATGTGTTTTTTAATTTTATGAAGTGTTATACGTACACCTGAATTACTATGTTACGTATAGTCTGTCAACTATAGTGTGTGTAACACGACGGATGACTATGTAAATGTTTCGCTAACAGTCATGAAAAAAGATAACACACTACCATTCAAAGAGCTAATTTTATCTTTTGATTAAACACTATGTAGTACATGCTATACAGTCTGTCAAAACAAAGTGATTGAAAAAGATGCAACTAATCTATTTAAAGATCAAGCTTTGATACATATATAATGAACTAATCGATATAAAAGCCATTATTTATTGTTGCCGTCGATACGTTTTACATCTGAACATTTTTGGATCATAGATTTCCTTACAATTGCAATTGTACAATGTTATAATTCTTTTAACCATTAAACCATTAAGTGTTTAGTAAACTAATGACGCAATCTAAATTTACAATAAACTTAAATATTAATACATGGTTGTCCCACGAAAAGCATGCCCTACAATATGCGGAAATCATTTTGGAGACAAAGTACAGTGGGACAGTAGGTCACTGTAGTGTAGTAGGTCAAGAAATCTTAGGTGGTTACCCTTCTATATTTGTATTCGGTATAAGAATTAGATTGTAGGTCAAAAATCAAGTTTTACGGGACACGTTTGTATAAGAACACTTTTTACAGTGTTTACTACAGTGTATAAAATCAACCTCATAAAAATATTATATGCTACGAAATTGTATATTTTATACTTGTACGATAACGCCTTTATATTTATTATAAGCATTCCTAATACTTATTTCTTTATATTTTTATTGACGTCTGTTGATTTCTGTGTTTAGTAAAATGATATTAATTTTGATTTCTATATTCATTATGATGCTCGTAGTGTAAACAAAAGACACTGTGTCTTACCTGTTATATGATACTGCTTGGAAAACTGCCACGCTGATTAATCACAATAATAATGGCCGATCGCCCCAAAAATGAAATAAATTAATTTTCAACTTTGATTTTCAGAAATGTTTCATGTAATTTCACTGTCTTCGACAAAACTATATAATCATACGAGGAAATTATTTTTAGCAAAGTACAGTATCTGCAAGTGGCAAAGGTGTCATTCATAACAAACGTTTCTGGAACTGCTCAAGTTTAGCTCGTTTTACGGAACACCCTGTATAGGCGTCCCATTTGGTGTAAGGTTGTCTTTAGATCAGTGATCTCTATCAGACGGCAGTAATTCTATTTCGGTCTAGTCGCTAAATTGGGTGGTTCAACGTCTTGAAATAGCGAGGGGAGCTAGCTGTAGAACAGACAGATTAATCAGTCTCTAATTAGGGAAGTTTCTTCTGGTGCAGTGGTAAATTTTTTAACACGTGACGTTTACATGACGTCTGGTATCAGTCAATAGTGGGGTACTCGTAAGTCTTCTGATGATTGATTAGCTTTTTATATAGGACCGTATTCGATTTGCTTTGTCAACGCACGGAAATCTTATTGGTTACTCTGAGAATTCGATTCTTCTGCATGTGGTTCAACAGTCATAAAAACGATACGCAAAAACGAAGTAAAGGATTTTAATTTCAGAGGAATAATCACTTTTGTTTCCAACGTATAATTTTAATACGTTGATTACCAAGAGAATTTTGAACGGTTTCTGAAATATCACTTACTCTTTCATGGCAAAGACAAACGGTGTTAGAATGCATTATTAGCGATTTGGCGTCACATATTAATAATTAATATTATTATTAGTAACGTTATTACGTTAATGTTTAATTAATTCACGAATATTTTACGAAAACCTTTTTTCCGCGAGACTTCAAGAATAGGAGTTGGACTATTGCTATTCTAAATGAACCATTTTATGGTAAGACTAACGAACAGTACTTCCTTCATTCTTTCACATAATTTTATTGATTCGCACTATGGGGCGACACCTTTGTGTGAAACGCTTCCAGTGCGTCACGAAACCACTCGCCTCTCTGATCGATGCTTACTAAAAATGGATCGTATGTTTCCGTAGAGACCAAAGTAAATAGTTTGACGAGCGGAGTATGGAGTGCCGTCGGAGTTGATCGAACACATTAAGCCATAATCCAGTCGGACGTGTTTACGTCGAGAAATGCTGACAACGAAAGCATTTTGTTGTCGGATGCGCCCATCAAAATTGTCTCTAACGAAATGCGTTGTATATGTTTAACGAGCTCAATGCCAACCGCATCAAGACGTCGTAGAGATTAATAAGCTGCAATGAAGGGTTCTTCAGCAGCATCCATGATCTCCCTATTTTCGGAATATTCCAAACTATTTTAAATATAGGGAAACGACAACAAACAACGATTGTCATTGAAAAGATAATCGCAATTCATTTATTCTGCTTTATTTAGTTTTCGGAATATTAAAAATATCAAAAATACCAAATACCGTAGTATTTTTAATACGTAAAACAAATATCAATAAAATAATAATTTTTTAATATAAAGAATATATACAATACTGAGTATTGTAAAATTTAATTGTGAACTGTTCACAGGATCTCTAATATAAAAAGAAGTTTTAAATGTTTACGAAAGCCGTTCGAAGAAATTAAGCATTTAAAATTAACTCTAAACTTTAGTGTGTGTAACGTTAATCGTCTTATTTTATCCAGTGGCAATCTGTTTTAATAAAATTTATATCTGTTTATTTCCTCTTCTCGGATGATCAATGCACTGAATAGGAGTCGGCAACCTTTGAGCCTGTAGAAGAAACACCACACACGTTCCATTATACTGTAGATATCGATTCGTTCGCATCGGATAAGGAACCAATACCCTGAAACCGACTCCCGGAGAAAATCTTATAATAACACGAGCGAAACGTTCCACTGATACAGGAAATTTAATGATTAAGATTTATTTCGGTTTTGGTTATACCTAATCTAAACACATGCCATAACCATGTTCTTTCTACGTAAAAAGATCGAATTATTTTCTTATTTCTGGCTCCTAGCAGGTTTATTAGAGTCTCTTCATGTTACTGTCTTACTTGTCCATTGTTTCGGGAAATCATAACGTTCCATTGCGGTTTTGTCTAATTCACACAATTCAAGTGGTTTTACGAGCCGTTTTATGTTTCTGTTTAAAACCATTTAATTGCACGGTAAAAACCATAATGCTTTGTCTTCTCATGAAGTAATGAAACTACTGCAACGGAATCCTCTTCAAAAATAAACGGAAATTGTTATGGTTATATGAATAATATTTATGAAGCGATAATTTGAAGGTAGATAATTTAATATAATTATATTATTTTCACGTGATCGTACACGTTAACGTTAAAAATATTCAGTGTTAATTGTTTCATGGTTCTATACAAGCTGAAATACTCAAAAGTAATGTTATCACGAGGAATTCGAACATTTTTCTGATTCTCCGAACGGCAGCACGTGTCGGTTCATTTATTCGCGTATACATAAAAATATTGTTTTATCTCGTACAAACATGTAAATAAAACTAGATTGTGATAATACTTGTCGTATTTGGTTGTTGAAAATTTAATCCTCCGCTGGAATAAAAGCTTCACTCATGGTTTGATGGATTTCCTTAAACGCGTGTTGTTGCATTTTATTTGAAATTCTACGAAATCGAAAGAAACTTGCGGCTCCCTGTAAATTATCGATACATACTTGTTATCAGACGTTCGAAATCATTTTCTTGAGAAGCAGCACACTGAGCAGAACAATATTATACACTTCGAGAACACTTGTGACGCTCCCCTTTCAACATGGTGGAAGGAGCGGTGACCGAAATCTTCTTTATATAGTTTTAGCTTCGTGACTGTGCAGCGTTTTGTCCCCAAAAGGTGTCCTATATCTTAGTCATCCGCTATATTTGTCTGGGCCGATTTTCTATGACTATTATCGCTTCTATAAATTAAAAGTAGAAATTCTAAACAAACAGTTCGACGGAATTTGGGACGTTCTAGACATTCGATTGCAGCTTCTTCCGCCATCTTGAGAAAGAAATATCGTTAACAGTAGGTTTTTCTAAACATTGTCAGAAAGAAACGTCGCGTGCAACGTTCTTTCTATTCTTATTCGAATGAATGCATCTGACTAAGAATTGCAACGAAAATGAAACTTTGAACCCTTAAAAACGTCAAGCGTGTTTATCAGTTTGCTATTTGCCGTCCGTTTGCCCGGATCTCTCGAGAAGCAAATTATTGGCAACGAATGTCGGCGCTGCTTAAGAGAAACAATGTGATTTCATGGTCGTTTCATGTTCGTTGCTAACCATGTGTACTAATTGAATTAAAACGTTTCTGGAAGCTGGCAGCGTTCATAATAAACTTGTGAAAATTAAAGCTGTGACGCACAAGGCTGATATAGCCAACATTCTGGCAGCGAAAACTCTTCACTTAAAATTCTCTTGTT